TGTGTTACGCAAGCGTAGACACAGCTTTAGAACACAAGTTAGGGGTAATCCTAGATCTACAAGCTGATGTTAGTTTAATTAGCTAAAGGAGCGCTGTAGAGATGGGTCTTACTCCCCTCAAGGAAGCTGAACTCCCTAGGCTAGGGTGGATTGGCCTACAACGACAGGACACATATGCCGCTTATGCGCTGAACCTGCGCCTCACCGACGATAACGGCGTAGAGCGCCGGACTAACGCTACCGTGTACGGAGTGGACAAAGAAGGTTGTCCCTTGTTATTAGGCAACTTATTCCTAAAACAAGAAGACATTACTATAGACTGTGGACGCTAAACCTGGCGTTGGGGATACACTAAAGCACAAATACACTTAGTATTAGCAAAGGAACTCCTTAAGGAAGCTGAGCACATCAACTCAGACAGTTATCTACTAGGAACGCTTCTATCGAGTGGCGCAGAGTTAGAACTAGAGGCGCGCGTGTACTATGTAAACGCAGCGCAGGAGGTTCGCATCCCGCATGAACTATTAGAATATGCAGATGTCTTCGACAACCGCAACGCAGAGATCCTGCTACAATACAAAAGTTTAGACTATGCAATCCCTATTGTAGAAGGCAAAGAGCCGCCTTACGGTCCGCTCTACACCCTCTCTTTACGTGAGCTACAACTGCTCCGCGAATACATCGAAGAAGCCCTACGGCGAGGTTAGATCCGACACAGTACCAGCCCTGCTGGAGCTCCTATATTATTCGTACCTAAAAAAGATGGTACTCTTCGCCTTTGCGTTGATTACCGGGGCCTTAACAATGTCACTATTAAGGATCGTTGCCCGCTCCTATTAATTAGGGAGACCCTAGATCGCTTGTCAGGCGCACGATACTATACGACCCTCGACCTGAAAGATGCGTACCACCGCATCAGAATCAAGGCAGGAGATGAGTGGAAAACCGCCTTCCGAACACGATACAGCCATTTTGAATACTTAGTGATGCCCTTTAGCCTCACTAATGCTCCAGCTAGCTTCCAGGCCTACATTAACAAGGCCTTGAGCGCCCATTTAGACCATATTTGTGTTGTCTACCTAGATGATATCCTCATATACTCGTATGACGAAGAAATTGCGACACACTAGCGCGCTGTACGCGCTGTACTTCAATCCTTAAGGGAAGCGGAGCTGTATGTCAACCTAAAAAAGTGTACCTTCGCATCAACAGAAGTACACTTCCTAGGGTTTATAGTCACAAGGCGCGGCATACGCGCAGACCCTGCGCGTGTCGCAACCGTAGTTAAGTGGCCAACCCCGACTAGCATCAAGGAACTAC